CTGTTGCGGTGCGGGGACGTTTGGGCTGAGTATTTTGAGCAGCTGTACCAGGTTGACCCACCAACAGTTAACTTGGATGCGGGTAGTGTCGAGATCCCGCTGCCGAATCCACCTATCAGTGAGGACCCTCCCTCCCTAACTGAAGTTAGGGGGGCAATTTCCAAGCTGAAGAGTGGTAAAGCAGCTGGTATCTGCGGCATACCAGCTGAACTGTTAAAGGCTGGTGGTGAACCTATGGCACGGGGGTTACATGCTGTCCTGGCTGCCATCTGGCAGTCCGGTTCCATTCCTCCTGACCTGTTGAGGGGTGTGGTCATCCCTCTCTGGAAGGGGAAGGGGGACCGTTGGGACTGCAGCAATCACCGAGGCATCACACTACTCAGTGTACCAGGCAAGGTTCTTGCCCACATCCTTCTGAGACGTATCAGAGACCATCTACTGAGGCACCAGAGACTGGAGCAATCCGGATTCACTCCTGGTAAGTCCACAATAGACCGTATCCTCGCGCTTCGAGTCATTGTAGAGCGCCGTCGTGAGTTCGGGCGTGGGCTGCTTGCAGCCTACATCGACCTCAAGAAGGCGTTCGATACGGTGCATCGGGAGTCACTTTGGGAGATCCTGAGGCTGAGAGGAATACCAACAAGGATTATTAGACTAATAGCAAGCCTGTATACTGGTACTGAAAGTGCTGTAAAGTGTGGTGGGGGCCTGTCGAGCTTCTTTCCTGTTAGTTCAGGAGTGAGGCAAGGCTGTGTCCTTGCACCAACTCTTTTCAACACTTGCATGGACTGGATACTGGGCAGAGCTACTGTTCAAAGTCATTGTGGGGCAACGCTGGGCAATATCAAGGTTACAGACCTTGACTTTGCTGATGACGTTGCCATTCTATCTGAGTTTTTGGAAACCCTAGTGGCGGCTCTCGATGCATTTAGCAATGAAGCGAAGCCCCTGGGTCTAGAGGTCTCCTGGACCAAGACCAAGGTCCAGGAATTTGGGGACTTGTTAGGAGAACCTGTTCAGTGGTACGTGCTTGCGGCGAGGACATTGAAGTCACAGAGAGCTTTACATACCTTGGTAGTGTAGTTCATAACTCTGGGCTGTCAGACCATGAAGTCAGCAGACGGATTGGCCTGGCAGCAGGGGTCATGAACTCTCTCAACAAGAGTATTTGGAGATGTCGGTACCTGTGCAGAAGGACCAAGCTACGGGTTTTCAAGGCCCTGATAATGCCAGTTTTGCTATACAGTAGCGAAACCTGGACATTGTCCTGTGCCTTGGAGGCTCGTCTTGAAGCCTTTTGTAATAGGTCCTTGCGCCAGATCATGGGGTACTGTTGGCGGGACCATGTGTCCAACCAACGGTTGCACCGTGAAACTGGCACAAGCCCTGTTATCTGCACAATCCGTGATCGCCAACTCAGGCTATACGGCCACCTGGCTCGCTTTCCTCAGGATGATCCTGCCCATCAGGTCGTCTCTATTCAAGACAACCCTGGATGGAGGAGGCCTGTGGGACGACCGAGGAAGTCATGGCTTGGGCAGATCGACCAAACCTGCCGTGAAGAACTAGAAATGGGCCGAGTCCCTGCCTGGCGTCTAGCCATGAGGGATCCTCGTAGGTGGAAGCGAAGGGTGGATGCGGCTATGCGCCCCCGTTGGCGTCAGCCCCCATGATGATGATGATGGTGCTTATGAACTACCCTGGTGATTATCCTCCCAATAAGAAATCAGCCCAAGATCTATATTAACACTTATGAATGTGGTGAGGATGTGTTGGGGAGCCCACAGCTTTTTCCTTAGTTACATTTGCCCCATCTAACATAACTCTAATATTTAAAGATCTTGTCAGCCATGGCATGCTAAATTAGAACAGATCAGATGCTAAATTCAACAGAAAATATTCTTGTGGGCTTTATTTTGCAACTGAATTTTTGTATTAGTTAGTTATATAGCTCTGCATATCTAGGGTAGACACTTTGAATAATAGAGCAAAAAGTAAGGGTTGCAAATTTATTTGGTGCAAAACATTAGACATCCTTTATTGGCCTTTGCTGGAGTGCTGAATATATGCAGGCTACAGCAAGTATGGGACCAGCTCATATTTTGACACATATGGGACACCTTGGACAGAGAGCTAGCTTCTGGCATCCGCCAGCCAATCACCGTTTGCTGTGGCATGAGGAATCAGACAGTTACGTAATTACTAAAACATCAACCAGTTTTCAATAGCATGCTTATTCTTCAACAAAATTGTAGATGTATTTTTTATTTTTCTGAAACTGATAATGAGTTCTGGAATGACCTAGAAAAATGGGGCTTTAGCAGTCTTTCAGATTGTATTTTAACTACACCAGGACACAGACCATCAGTGATTTCTGATGGTGCTCACCAGCACACAAGGAAACTTAGCATTACAAAGATTTTTTTTTATTATGCCGTACTCCATAGACTGGGGTTGGCTATGAATAATAATAACTATAAAAAGTTTGCCTTGCACATATGAAAAATAAATAAATAGAAAATATGATGATAATGATAAATTGATCAGCTTTTTCTGCAGTCTTCAAACTCTTTTTCCTGTGTGTTAGAAAGAGTTTGATCTTGGGGAAAAGCCACATAACAAGAAAATATTACAAAAAATTGAGCAGGCCATATATTCTAGTTGTATGACAATAATGTAATTTAAAGAATAATTATATTTGGAATCTAAAGCCAGTACAGGAATTATTTTCCATACTTCACTACTTCTGATGTATTTTTTATTTGCTAATTGAATTCACAGAAATATGAGTAAAATTTACTTTATTTTCAGGCTTGTTCCAAGAGCAAGACTCAGCATGACAACCATCCACTGGTTTAGGAAAGGATTACGTCTCCATGACAACCCAGCTTTAGTGGCTGCTATTGATGAGGTACCTTGTGATTTTTTTTTAAGGTGATCCATATAAGAACCTTAAAGATTTTGTAGATCAAAGCTTGTTAAGTCTAAACCCCAGAAACTTTTTTATATAAAAAGGTGAGTTTAGATGGTCATAAAGCTTGTTCTGAAGTTGAAACCAAAACATAACCTTTTTTTCTTTACTTTCTTTTTCTCAGAATAAAGAACTGCGGCCAGTGTTTGTGCTTGACCCCTGGTTTGTAAGAGAAAGTCGCACAGGCGTCAACCGGTGGCGTTTCTTGGCACAAACACTAGTTGACCTGGACACAAGCCTCAAGCAGCTTGGTTCTAGGTAGTTGATATATTGTTTGTTAATTGTTTTTACACTCTGTAATTTTCCAGTTTTGCATGTTTTCTTGAAATAGAATCCTTGATCCACTTGAATATTAGGGCATTTGTAAAGTAAATAAGTTAAACTGTTTCTCTTCTCTATTCTCTTGATTATCTTTTTGTTGCAGTTGGTCTATCATTACAGGCTGCACTATTATTACTGAATTACTGGATACTTGAAGGACAGAATAGCACTTACTTAATCATCTCTACCATATGATATATAATTTCAGTTCTTGCGTGATAAGATATAAGAAAGTCATTTTTTTTCTACTTATTAAGATAAGGTGAGACATTGAATTAACATTGATTCTTATATCCCTAGGCTCTTTGTTGTCCGAGGGAAGCCAGAAGAAGTCTTTCCCAAATTATTTAAAGAATGGAATGTAGAAAAGATGACGTGGGAAGTGGACACAGAACCCTATGCTCGCACTCGAGATGAAAAAATTGAGAAATTGTCAAAGGAACATGGTGTCAAAGTCGTATGCAAAGTTGGACACACATTGTACGACACTGAAAAGTAAGCTTTTTTTCACAGATATTTTCATATTATTGAATGCAGTGAACATGAGAACACCAAGAACATACTGTACTATTATATGTAGCTCCTATGTGCTGTGCATGTTATTTGTACTGAAAAATTTTAACCTGTTAGATAATTGTATTTGTTTTGCTTTATGGCAGAGTCATCAGAACCAACCTAGGGAAAACGCCATTGACTTTTCAAGGACTGGAGGGAGTGCTGAAGAAAATAGGACTACCACCAAAAGTTGTTGATAGGCCCACCAGTCTCCCTGAGGGGTGTAAGATCAGTTCAGAAGTAGCATCTGATCCTAAGTATGACCCCCCTACTCTGAAAGGTAAAGATAATCATTACATTTTGAATACAATTTTTTAAGGAGTCTATGAGCGATGCACTTTTTTATCAAACTATATGTGGGAAAAAATTATAATAAGTGAATAAGATTGATAGATTTGAAACACAAGATAAATAAATAGATTAAGATGAAGGGATAAGTATTTGATTCATTTTTAATTAGATTACTGGAGGAGGACAATCCACAAGTTTTTGAGATAGTAATCCCCCCCCCCCTTTGGCTTTGGCCGAGATAATTAAATCATATAAAATGCATTTGCTTTATGCTTTATATAAAATAAGAATGTAATGTGTGGATTTGTTATTGTTTTTGCTCCTCCTCCGTCTTCTCCTCCTCTTCCTTCTCTTCTTCTCCTCTTTCCTTCCTTCTTCTTTTCTCCTCTTCCTTCTTTTCTTCCTTCTTTTTCTTCCTCCTCTTCCTCTTTCTCCTCCTCATCTTCCTCCCTCTCCTTCTTTCTTCCTCCTTCTCCTCCTCCTCTTCTTCCTTGTCCTCTCTTCTTCTTTCCTCCTTCTCCTCTGCCTCTTCTTTCTCCTTCTCCTCCTCCTCTTCTTCCTCCTTCTTTTCCCTCTTCTTCCTCCTTTCTCCTCCTCCTCTTCCTCCTTCTTCCTCCTCTTCTTCCACCTTCTCCTCCTCTTCTTCATCCTTCTCTCTTCCTTCTTCTCCCTCTTCCTCCTTTTTCTCCTCTTCCTCCTTCTCCTCCTCCTCCTTGCAGGCCAAACATTTTTTTATAATTTAGCAATACTTATATTTTGTTTTATATTGCAAAAGATATCATCATGATTATTATGCTTTTGTATTTCCTCTTTCTTTTTTTTTTACAATAGAATTAGATTATATTCCCTTTTTCATTTTTTG